ATGGAATCAACTCAGCTGGTAAATAATGGCATTTTAAGTCTATAATTAAAGATTAATAACCATGTTCTAATGTCAGCCCTTGTCTGACCAACTTCTTATCTCAGAATTACATTAGATACATATTTTGGGGCATACTAAGTATAAGGTTAACACTGACCATGGACAAGAGATTTACTTAGTGAATGTTGAACAGTAAACACAACCCATCCACGTGGATTTTGATGGTTGTCTCCTTTCGCACCATAGCTCAGCAATCTTTGTAATATTGGTCAACCAGCAATTCTTTTTCATGTTTGTTGACTGCAATGGGGAAAAATTCTTCAGTAAACTTCTCAGGTATAAGACAATGCACAGGCCAGAAGGTTAAATCCTTTGTTTTGAAAAAAGAACCTGGGAATGAAAAACCAAGGAGGAGGAGGAGCAGACACTATAGGAGGAGAAACTCTTATGCTTGCTCTTTAGCTATCTCATTTTCCCAGAAGAAAAATGACTGCTCAATTGTAAGCTTGCAATTTGTCCACATGGCGGCACTGAGCTGGACCGCAACTATGCTACATAATGGATACAAGACTGTGGTTACAGCAGTCTTCCTTATGTACAATTAACTTTTTTGGTTTGAGTCGTGGTTGAGAATGCTGTATATGAAGGACTATAGTTTGAAGTACTATGTGGAAGCAAGTGGGCCAAGTAAAAGGGAAAAGTCCTGAAACCAGATACCAAGCAGGGGAGGTACTACGAGGAACAAAATGGTAGTCATTGGTGAAGTAGGAATCAAAGTCCTCCAACAGTCCAATCAATTCTATTTTATTGTATTTTTACTTTTTTAGTGTATGGCATGTGTTAGCCAGGGATCACAAAGGTGGCTGGCTGCCTCTGTGAAAGGATTTTTTGGGGCGGTGTTATTGTTATGCCTGAATGTCAGTAGGCAATCGGGGGAGGCCCTACCGGTTTATTTGCTCATGGGAATCGAGCCACAACCTCAGTGGTGCTCAGGCCCAGAGTCTTATCACATGAGCTACTGCTCACCGCTTTGTATACAATGGTATTTATAATTTGCAAAAAATATCAATTTCTCATTCCTGATCTGGATGAAATAAAGCACATTTTTGCTCAGGCTGAATCCAAGCAAAGAAGCCCTTAATAATACCAACATTTCATCAATGTTTCTAACTTTTCTCCTATAAGGAATGGGGAAGACTTTTCAAAGTGAGGTTACTCCTATCATAAAAGTAACACTCATCCCATCTTTTATATCCTCCTGCATTAAACAAACCCCTGCATTAGGATTACCTTTAATAAAAAGACAAAAAACTAGAATCAATCTAAAGTATTAGAACCTGAAAGTATTGAACTTTCCTGTAATTATAAGGAATCCTTTGACACTCCATCAAAATCTTTCAAAACACCCAGCTATTTTACTTCCAATAAAACCTATCAGCCTGGATTTAGTGAAAGCAAGCAAATACCAAGGGATAAAAGTGCCTAACACACATTAGTGTAAGAATGTTCTCTAATATATGTTACACATGTGCTTAAAATACAAAAATATTGAGCCTTTGATTGGTCAATTTCTGCACAATATCCAAGTCTCTGGAGGTAATTTTTTTCTGGGTAAAATAGAAAGGGTGGAGAAATATATACGCTCTATGAAATAATTTGGCTCTGTGTCCTGTTAGTTTTCGAGGCAAATATATATACAAGACAAGAAAAAGGAATGTGTTAGTAATACTTGTGACTATCATCAGCTGTTATTTGTATGCAAAATTACCCTAATTTTGTTATTTTAATTAGGCTTCAGTACTTTTCCAAAGTCCTTGGATAAACTAAATGTACTAAACGTTCCTAGAAAGAGCACATACATGGAATACAAAGGGAAATTTCTGTTAATTTCTGTTGTTCACTTCTCAAACATGTAGGAACTCTGCTGGTATCCACTCATTAATTCACTAATTGCGTTCACTATTGCATGAAACTGTCTTGCTTATTGCTCTCGCTGTATTAGGAACACTGCTCAACATAAGATCTTTTCTTAGGATAATGGGAACATAATAAATTCCAACCTCCCTCGGATATATTTTATACCACTTTGTAGTCCAGTTACCCACATTAAGTCAGTGGGAAAGCAAATTTTAATTGGCTATCTCCATACCTTTCTTTTGTCATGAAATATAGGTAAAGCAACCCAAGCGACTGTTGGGATCTACTGAGTACTGAACCAATAGTTAGTTACAAGATTCTCTAAAAGCTTGGCCATAAATCCAAGGCAGGACTTTAGAGGAAAATATTGGCTTTTTGCAAGCTGTAGTAATAAAAGTCAAGGGATTTGCGCTGAAAAAAAAATGGTACAAAAATTCAATATAAAGAATATCAAACTAATGACAACAGGTACAACAGTCTTAGTACTGACAATGCAGATGTCAAAACGGTGGATAGCATCTACCTTTTAAGCTGAACCATCAATAATAAAGAAACAAGCACTCAAGAAATATACTGCAGATTAGCAATAGGTAAACAGCTATGAAGGCCTTGGGGAAAATATCCATATGGCATGATGTCTTTATACTCATAAAAATCAGAGTCATGTAAGCCATGTATCCTCTGTGGCACTCTATGGAAGTGAAAGGTGGACTTTGAAGAAATAAGCTATGAAGGATATTGAACCTTGGTGTTGTAAAAGACTCCTTGAAAATGCCATATCCAATCAAGAAAACAAATAGATTACTGAAAAAAAAATAACCCAGAGGTTTCATACCAAATACAAATGACCAGGCTCAAATTATCATACTTTGGAAACATTGTGCAAACACCTAGCTCTCTGGAGAAGCTTTAATGCTGGGAAAGGTGAAAAGAAAAAAAGAGGGCGAGGATAACCGGTAGCAAGGTAACTAGACTCAATTACAGTATGCACCCTTGGACGACCTGAAAGATCAAGTTATGTTATGCTGTTGCTAGGACCTGACAATATGATGGCCCACAATCAATCAATGATCAAATCTAGGTTCCCCAAACAGCTAATTTCTTCTATTCTCTCAGGAGGTGTCCCAGGGATTCACTTCATTCTTGTTTATCCACCAAAAAGCACCTCACTGGAGACACTGCTACTCCAGTGACCTGAAATAGTCATATCCCAGGGTAACATATGCCCTTAAAGTTAACTTAAACTGTTAACCTTCAGTGCTTTCAAGGTGCTTGGATCATCACGAAACAGCGCTCCTCGAAGATTTCATTCACCTCTTTTTCAACTGGAAAATTCAAAGGGGAAGCTATTTCAAGATTCTAGAACACTTTGAGTAGCAACCCTCAGGGATTCCTCTTTCTCACTGTTAAGAGACAGGACAACCACAGGTAATTGTTGTATAGGAATATGAGTATATGCAAACAGGAGAGGGGTATCTGTGCAAATGCACTGGGAGGCTGCATACCAATAGTGGGCTGTGGCTTTTCTTGCTGCCAACACAGAGACTTCAATATGCTTGGTCGGGTTCCTATTTATCCATTAAGCCATAAAATGTATCTTACTCCTGTAACAGATGAGAAACCATAGGCGCTTGCAGGCTTAACTCCAACTAAAGACCTTTTACAGAGGGCTTTTGGAGCTCTGCCCCTAAAATTGTCACAAGGCTCTAATCAGCCCCACAATGTTGGCCTAAAGGCCAACTTTAATTGCATAGTCAGGAAAAACAGAAAAGAGGACCAGCAAGAAGGAACATTAGGATTCCATGGCTGAAGCTGAAATAAAGAAGACCAGAATTGCCCAGAAAAGCAGCACATATTAAATCCTAAACCGTGGTCAATTATTATTTATAATAGTGGTATGGAAATAAAAATATAAGTAAACATTCAGGAGTTACACCAGGTATAATCCCAAGCACCAAATGATCAAGCAGTAACACAGGGATATAAGAAGCAAAGAACACATGGGTACAATTACACTACAAAGCGTTATTTTACACTACTAAATTACACTACTAAATTGTTATTTTTGCTATACCATAATATACATTAAAGGGTAAATAAAAAATTATTTACAGATTAAGATTCAGAAGGCCATTCAGCTCAACATTTACTGGATTGAATATAACGGTATCCTGAATTTCTCGTAATGTTCAAAGGATAATTGATTTTATTTCACTGGTCAACTGACTATTATAGAAAGTCAAGCGTATTCCATCCCACTTTGAAGCGACCATTTTTGATCTTATATCTTTCAGATATATTATGCTAAAATACTTTTTCTTCTGCCTTAGCCCCTGCGAAACCTGGAGTACAATATATATCTTGAGAGCTGATACATGAATTTTATTATATTTTACTTTGACCTTAAGAAATAGTGAGAGCCAGTTTGGTGTAAGACTGAGTTCTAGTCTAGTCTTAGGTATAAAGCCAGCTGGTTGTCCTTGGGCCAGTCATTCTTTCTCACCCCTGGGAAACAGGCAATGGCAAATCAGATCCAAAAAAATCTTGCCAGGAAAACTGTAGGGACTTGTCAAGGCCGGGCCAGGAGTAAAAAAAAAATTAACTCAAAGGGGGAGGGGAAAGAAAAAGGAAAAGGAAAGGAGAAGAAAAAGAAAGGAGAAGAAAAAGAAAGGAGGGGAAAGGGGAGGGAAAAGAAAATGCTAAAAATATTCCGTGCATCATCATATTATACTGATTCTTTATCTACTAGAAGGCTGCATCTGATAAAATGTTTAAAATTGAGCAAAAATAAAAGCTTGAAATGAAAAACTGAAAACAATGGGATACACCCAACATTTTATTATCCAACTTGGAACAGCTGGACTTTCTCTTGCTCCTTTAACTCTTCTCTACCATGGCCTCTTAAGTTTCTTCTTAATGTAGAGTATCTTTCCAACAGATTATGGGTGCAATGAAATACACACCTGATGCAATGCTTCCATGCAACTATCCTGTAGCAAGCAAATGTTTTTTAAAAAGAAAAAATATGGGACTGACGCACTGTATTGTTTGCTTAATGAAGTTTCCATTCTACATATACTTACTTAAGAATAAATCCCAGGACTGAATTGCGAGCCATATAACCCATTTCAGCAAAATCTGATTGAAGGTCTGCACGTCACAGTTTATGAAGATTACTTCTGCCCAGTTTGGGGGGAAATTTCTGTTGCAGGATATTACTTCTTGCCATGAAGTAAAACTTCTGTTTTTCTGAAGCAAAGGCAAAAAACAATATATAATCTGATCAATATTGTCCCTGAGAACAAATAGTTTCCTTTTACAAATAAAAGAGTGACTAATCAAAGAAGAGCTGTGTTTTAAAATAAAGAGTACCATGAGCTATATATGTCTCTTGAACTACTTTGACTTCTGCTATTACTTTTTAAGTTGTGAAACCAGAATTCCTTCCACTATCCCGCTTATATGAAGGGATACCTGTGTACATGCAAGCTTGTTTACAGCTTATGGGTGATCATCACAGACTCTTCCAGCAGTGTTCTTTGCAGCAGAGATTCAGGGGAAAACGAGATGAGACAGAATTTGTTCTGCAATTAAGCTCAGACTGCAGAATTTTCTCTTCTCCAAAGAGACGTTAGCCTGAAAGTTAGCTCTGGTGGCCACCTTCAGATCTGTCCCATCACGTTTGAATGCTTGTCATTCGCCGGACATTGAAAATGGGTGGGATCAGAATCCAAAGTGAACTGGCAAAGTTTAAGGACTCCCCGCCCACCATTTTGCCTCACACAATGCAAAGGGGAAAAAAAACCTAGTAACAACCTTTCCTTCACAAAACGCAGCGCAAATGTCTGGTTTTGTTCATTCTGAAAGTCACAGATGCGGATAGTAGGTGACATGTGGTTCCCAAGCTGCTCTTTTTGAACTCATATATTTTAGAGAAAGGATCAGCAATCCACAGGCCCCATATGGCCCAATTTCATTTTTTGCAATCAAGGAAGCCCCCGCCTCCCAAGTTTGTATTGCCAAAATTTAGAGGAGAACCTCAAATTTTCAACAGGCTGATGATTATTGCCTTATATCTTTTATTGCCGCTGAAAGATTAATCACAGAAGTTTTGTAAACCTCTGCTGGGCTTAACCAACCGACCTAGAGCTTTAAAAAAGATAACCGGAATCACAAACCAACCAACCCCGACAAACGGCTTCAGCCCAACTGATTTCACAACATCACTGAAATCTCTTGCTGCATTTTGAAAGTGCAGCTTGATTAAGGAAGGGGGGGGGAGGGGAAATCCTTACCAAGTCTTTTTCATCCTTGGTTGGTGTCAAAAAGCTTAGCTTTTTATTTTATTATTATTATTTTAATATGTTTTTATATCTTTGAGTCACCATGTGTGAGGAGGCAGCAATATAAATTTTCAAAACAAAATAAAATGGCCAGAACTTAAACTGGGGACCAAATTCTAATACTTGAATTATAAGCAAGGTTAGTTGAAACTATATGATGGGAAAAAAAACAATTTCAAGCCATTCCAAGCCTTCCAAGAGACTTCTAACCTAAATCAGCCCATCTTAGGAGACTGCTCAAGGAGAAACACATTCTGGTTCCATATTTTTAGGAGGTGAAGAAAGCCAAAGAAAAGAGGAACTGTTCCTCAGAATGGTTTGACTGCTTTGGACTATTTCTCTAGTGGAGAATAGACTGGTCCCTCTTTAATAGCCTCCAGGAAATTGAAAACACTCAAGATAAAGGACCAATAAAGTTATCAATACAAATATAAAACATGGGCAATACATAGCATCACTAGAAGTCTCTCCAAAATATCTCTGTTGATATATTTAATTGAATCAAAAAATGTTCACATTCAATTCAGTATGTCAACTGAAATATTTTGGAGAGGCTTCCACATATTTTACATCTATATTGATGTTTTATATAAATATAAATATCATGCTTAAAAGATCGAAATATGTTTGGTGTCAATTGATTTTCTGATTACACTGTAAATTTTAAATGTGTCATTATGTGATTATGTGCCAACAACTCTTAGCAACCACACAGATACCATATAGATGCTTTGATTTTTCCTTATATTGTATGTGCCTTTATGAGTTATCAGATTCCAAGGAGATATAAGTCAGTAAGTATTCCTACATGGATTTTGTCCATGAAGATATTAGCTCTATTCAAGGTAGACTTTTAAAAACTTTTGAACAACGGCAAGTCCTAAAAATGCTTTAGTTATATTTTCATTTTAGTCTTGATTATATTTAGGAACGCATAACGAAAAGCAGCTGCTCTTTTCTATGTTTTTATTACAATTATTTTTATTGACATTTTATTGAATTCCCTGAGTTTTTTTTATAATGGAACAAAACATAGAATTATGAAAATAAACAAATTCTATTTCTAAATAGAAAATTCTGATGCTACCTAAGCAGAGTACTTCAATAGATACAAGTTAAAATTGGCAGCAGTTGAAATTCTTCTTTAAAAAGGCATGGAAAAACTTATCACTGGAGTAAAATATGACGTCACCCCAGAAATCAATGTGTGCTCTTTCATTTCCCTTTTATCTTAGAACAGCAGAAGCTTTTGGAAAAACCAATAAAAATATGTTTTTTCCTCCATTATGAAGGAAATGTCTTGTAATTTTGCAAGGAAACAACCTTGATCCAGCGTTCAAAATACAGAAAGTTCACGGCCAATTCTGATAATTTCTTCCCACTTTTCAAAATTACTTGGGAAATCTTATTCCCCAGACAAAAGGAAGAAAACAAAGACAACTTACAGTTTTTCTGGTTCAAAAGAAAATGCCCAACTTGCCACTTTTCTAAAAGGGGAAAATAAAACGCCACTAGGCAATACTGTCTCCAAAAGATAATAAACAGGCTACTCGGGTTTTTTAAAATCACTTCCCTACAGAATGTTCATTCTCCCATTGTGATTACAAGCAGTCAACAATTTAGCATTTTGTTATAGTTCAAAGTTATGGTGGCCCTGGAAGAAGTGATTTATCACCTGTGCTCACTCTTAAAGCCATCATATCACCCTCATGGTCACATGATCACAATTTGAGGGCTTGGCAACCAGCTTGCATTTAGAGCCGGTTTCAGCATCCTGTTGTGACCTGATCACAATGTGCCACCATTCTGCTGATTTCCAGCAAAAAAACACCCATTGGGGAAACTGAATTCACTTAACAACTGAATGATTTCCTTAAATGACCGTGGTGATTCTCTTAAATCATAGACATTGTTGGGTCCAACTTGACTTGCAGTCGCATGTCTTATGATGCAAATTCTGGTCTCAGTTGTGATTGTAAAACGAGACCTACCCTAATGAGAAAGCTGAATGTTAATAAAGAGAAAATACAGGTAGTTCTCAACTTACAAGTTCATTTAGTGACCAAAGTTACAACAGCATTGAAAAAAATGACTTATGACCACTTTTCCCAATTACAAACTTTGTAGCAGCCCCAGCATCATGTGATCAAAATTAAGATGCTTCGCAACTGGTTCATGCTTATGACCATTGCAGCATCCCAGGGTCACCTTTTGCAACCTTTTGACAAGCAAAATCAATGGAAAAACCAGATTCACTTAACAACTATGGTACTAACAATCAGCTGCAGTGAAAAAAATGACCAGTCCTCTAACCCAGGGGTTCCTAACCCCCAGACCGCAGCCTAATACTGGGCCGTGGCCTATTTGCACCCGGGCTGTGGGCCAGAGTGCACATGCAGCTCAAGTCACACAAGCAACGGGCTGGCACACATGCCAGCTCTACTCACGTGAATGGCAGGGCTGCATGTTTGTGCATCCCGGTTTCTCCGCTCCCCACGGGCCAGGCCACCAAGTCGCAAAGGTTGGGGACCGCTGTTCTAGCATCACAGCATCCCCCCACAGCATATGTGACTGCAATCTAGATGCTCAGCTCATGATTATGATATTGCAAGGAGCTGTGGAGACATGATCACCGTTTGTGACCGTCCCCGCAAACGAAGTCAACGTGGAAGCCAGCAGGGAAGGTCACAAGTCACTCCCAATACATCCTTCCTACTCTTTCTCCCACTCAAACATGGCTCCCCTGACCCTGACCCAGTCTCTCCCATCCCCAGCAGCACTCCCTACCGCCCCCTGCTTTAAACTTGCATCACTTAGCGACAGCAAAATCCCAGTCCCAATTTATGATGTAAGCGGAGGAGTACCTGCATATTAAACATTTGCAAAATGGGAGTTCAAATTAATATATGGTACGGCTCTTTCTTCACAATGTTTTCTCACAATTACTTTACAAAGCAAGAGAGAGATATGAATGCTTTGGGTGCCCACCAATGGTTAGTATCTCTTTGTGTACTCCTCCCCTATCCCCCAAATTAGGGGGGGGTGTCTAATTGGAGTTGATACTAATTGAGTATGTGGTGGAGGAAAATATGAGTAGAAGCAATAGTCGAAACAGAAACACACAAACATATACCCATTTTACACCATTTCTGACTCCCATCTCTCGGTCTGGAGAGTTAGGGAAACTAAACAATAAAGCTAATTCCTCTTTCCTTGTTTGGACCACCTGCCATGTGATGGTTCAGTTAAATGCAGCACAAGCATGGGGATAAACTGTGATTAATCTTGGCAGAGTCCCTTAATGGTCTGGGTTCAGATGGTATTCCAAGCCTAACCCATTGTGGCTTAGCAACTCTTCCAAGATTATTTAATGGAAGTTCAAAAATCTAAATACAGATCCCTACTGACATATCTAAGATTACTTTGATGGCTAGCCCTCAAAAAGCTAAGCAGAATTGGATTTAGTCAGTACTGGGGTGAAAAACCACCATAGAATCAATGCTGTAGGCATTGTGCAAAGTGGAAAGTCCAAAAATATTCCAGAAACAGGCAACGGCAAAGCCATTTATACTGTATAGCCATTTAATTTATACCGATGTCAAGAAAACTACACATCCATGAAATCATCAGAAGTTGAATTCAGCAGAAAAGGCTTTAGTTTTTAGAGTGTTGGGGTTTTTTTAAAACAGAATTATATTTAAAAACTACAGGTAGTCCTTGACTTATGACGACAATTGAGCCCAAAATTTATGTTGCTAAGTGAAACATTTGTTAAGTGAATGTGCTCCATTTTATGACCTTTCTTGCCCAGTTGCTAAGTGAATCACTGGATTTGTTAAAATGAGTCTAACTGTTGTTAAGCAAATCTGGCTTCCCCATTAACTTTGCTTGTCAGAAAGTCGCAAA